GGGCACCGAGGGGTCGGGGGAGGGGGGACACGGCGCGGGGGAACACAGGGCCCTGCTGGAGCCTCCAGACAAACGCCCCCCCCGCGGCCCGGGGAGGACCCAGACCCGTCCCTTCCCCCCACCCCCCACCCCAGGGCATCCGCTGACGGCTCCGGTGCCGCCGCCGCCGCCTCACCATCCCCGGGAGCGGAGGCTCCGGCCGCTCCGCCGCGGCGTCTGCCCGGGCGCCTCCATGGGCGACGGCGCCACTTCCGGGTATCCACCGGAAAAGGATTTGACGTCAACATCAAGCGCGCTGAAGCCTGAGAGGGCGCCGCCATTTTAAAGGCTCTGGGCGGTCTCCGCGGAGCGGCGCCATCTTGGCACAGGGCGCCGCCATCTTGACTAAGGGCAGGGCCGCCTCTCTCCCGCCTCCTTTCCAAGGCCGCCGTTACCTGTGGGTGGGGGGGAGGCCGAGCCCAACACGCGGGCGAGGACGGGGAAGGGCCCCGTTATCCCGGCAGACGGGGTTCGTCCCGGCCCTGGCAGCGCGGACACCCGCGGCCCGCCGAAATGCCCACACCCATCATGGCGGCTCCCCCGCCACACCCATCATGGCGGCTCCCCCGGCCCCACCCATCATGGCGGCTCCCCGGCCACACCCATCATCCCCAGGCGGCGAGGAAGGGACAGGGCCTCAGTGGAGGGGTCGTTCCTTTTATTGGGTCGAGCACGGCCGTGGGGCCCAGCCCTCCCCGCGGGGCCGACGCCACCAGCGGCCCCATGTGCGCCCGGCAAAGGCAGGTGTGTGCCGGCACACGCGTGTTCCTCCCCACACGCGGTGCCAGAGGGCCCTTCCCCAGTGTCCCGTGTCCAGTGTCCCCCTTCTTCATCGCCACCATGTCCCCCCCGCCACCCCATTGCTGTCTCCGGGGGCGGGGGGCTAGGCCGAGCTGGGGGCAACGTGGCCGTCGCCGGCCTGGTGGAGGTTGGCGGCCCACTCCTTCCTCTGGATGGTGCCCGTCTTCTCCTCACGGAACTGCTGCCGCTCCTCCCGCGGGATCTTCACGGCGTGGTACTGCGGCACGGCCGGCGGCGCGTAGCGAGCCCGGCGGAAGAAGCCCAGCTGGGGATGAGGGGGGGGACAACAAGCTGGGGGAGTCAGGGCCCCCCCCTGGCTCCAGGAGCCCATGGCGTCTTCTCCATCCCCCGGCACCCGAGAGTCACGGCAAATCCTCGCACACCCGTGCAAGCCTGGCCAGCGGGGGGATTCTGCCCCTCTGGGGTGACGTCCCCCGTCTCTGGGGACATCAGGGGGACACGGAGCTGCTGGGAGGGCTGGAGCCCCTCAGCTGGGAGGGGGGGCTCAGAGAGTTGGAGGGGTTCAGCCCGGAGAAGAGAAGGCTCCGAGGAGACCTCAGAGCCCCTTCCAGTCCCTCAAGGGGCTCCAGGAAAGCTGGGGAGGGACTCTGGATCAGGGAGGGGAGCCATGGGATGAGGGGGAAGGATTTTAAACCAAAAATTAGGAGATTTGGGTGAGATGTGGGGAGGAAATTCTTTGCTGTGAGGGTGGTGAGAGCCTGGCCCAGGTTGCCCAGAGAAGCTGTGGCTGCCCCATCCCTGGAGGGGTTCAAGGCCAAGGTTGGAGGGGGCTTTGGGCAACCTGGGCTGGTGGGAGGTGTCCATAGGGCAGGGGGTGGGACTGGGGGGGCTTTAAGGTCCCTTCCACCCCAAACCATCCTGTGATTCTCTGCACAAGCACCACAAACCCTCGTGCAACGTCCCTTGGTGTTAGTAATGTTAATTATTTGCTACTATCCTATTAAATCTGTTCCTGTTTCAGCCCCCAGCTTTTCCTTGTTTTTTTCAGGATTCCCCTTCCCGGGTGGTTTCCTTATTTTTCCCACCCAGGGAGGGATCATGGCGGGGACGATGAGAGAATAATTGTGTAAACAACAATAAACGGGTGAGGCTTCCTCAAACGGGAACACACCTGCACACACAGGCACCACAGACCCTTGTGCACCCGCACACGGGCACAGCAGACCCCCCGCACACGTGCACACCAGCACTGCAGACCCTTGCACACGCACACTGCAGACCTTTGCACGCCGGCACCACAAACCGTCCCATTGCCAAACCCAGTTCCCCCCAACAGCCTCGGCATGCCGCCAGCCCTGGCAGGGTGGCCACCAGCACTCACAGGGTGGCCACCAGCCCCGGCCCCGGGGCGGGAGAGCCCTGCGTTACCGCTCGCCCTCCAGCGCCTGCTGCTCGGCCGAGGGCTGCAGGCCCAGGCGGGCCCAGTAATAGTTGGTGGTGTAACGGGACTTGGGGCTGCTCCGCTTGAAGAAGCCGCACTGGGGAGGAAGCGAGAGGGTGAGGCCAGGCAAGGCCAGGCTGGGTGGCACGGCACGGCACGGCATGGCATGGCACGGCTCGGCACGGCTGGGGTGGCACAACATGGCAAAGCTGGGGTAGCATGGCATGGAAGAGACGGGGTGGCATGGCATGGCACAGCTGGGGTGGCACAACATGGAAGAGACAGATTGGCATGGCACAGCACGGCTAGGGTGACATGGCATGGAAGAGAGGGGATGGCATGGCATGGCATAGCTGGGGTGGCATGGCAAGGCACAGAAGAGCTGGGGTGGCACGCCATGGCATGGCATGGCACAGCACAGCATGGCATGGAAGAGCTGGGGTGGCACGGCATGCCATGGCACAGCTGGGGTGGCACAGCATGGAAGAGACAGATTGGCATGGCACAGCACGGCTAGTGTGACATGGCATGGAAGAGAGGGGATGGCATGGCATGGCATAGCTGGGGTGGCATGGCAAGGCACAGAAGAGCTGGGGTGGCACACCATGGCATGGCATGGCATAGCATGGCATGGAAGAGCTGGGGTGGCATGGCATGGAAGAGACAGGGTGGCATGGCAGGGCACAGAAGAGCTGGGGTGGCACGGCATGGAAGAGACAGATTGGCATGGCACAGCACAGCTAGGGTGACATGGCATGGAAGAGACGGGGTGGCATGGCAGGGCACAGCTGGGGTGGCACGCCATGGCATGGCACGGCACAGCACGGCATGGAAGAGCTGGGGTGGCACAGCACAGCTTGGGTGACATGGCATGGAAGAGCTAGGGTGGCATAGCACAACTGAACTGGCACAGCATGGCATGGCATGGAATAGCTGGGATGGCACAGCATGGCACGGCATGGCATGGCACAGCAGAGCTGAGATGGCATGGCATGGAAGAGAGGGGGTGGCATGGCAGGGCACAGAAGAGCTGGGGTGGCACGCCATGGCATGGCATGGAATGGCACAGCACAGC